AGATTTCGAAAAAAATGGTACCACCTCATTATCGCTTTGTTAGGATTTCTTTTCATGGTGTAGATCTTAGTGTAATGGTGACGAAGAAAGTTGTGGAGGTTGATCATTTTGGATCAAAACCACCATCGTCAACCACTAGCATCACATCCGCGATCTCGTGGTGGGATTGGACATTGAGTGGCATCCCCACCCAAGCAGCGATTTCAAACCCTTCGCCCCGCCCACAACTCTCTAGTTGTACGTTGGGCGGAGTTGCCTCATCTTTCAACTTCTCCACAAGGATTACATTCCCGATTTGCTCCTCAACTTCCTAGCGCACCCGTTGTTTACGTTCATGAGGGTGGGTTTCAGGATGACGCTGAAAAGTTGTTCTGAGATCACGATTTGATTGTGAGGAAAGTGGTGGATTTGAGGCATTTGGCGGCTTGGATTTTGGATTTAAAAGAGTTCTCCAGAATGGGGTTTTAGAGGATGGCGTTGGAAATTCTAGGACAAGTGACGGAAAAGCCGCTACAAGTAACACTCAACGACTGTGACGCTAAACATCTTACGTTCCATCAGATTGAGTATGGGTCAATAGACGCATTTGCGTTTTTTCAAATTGATTTCAATTTTATTGAATACGTAATTACTGTTCAACTAATCACATAACTCTTATCCACACGATCACGCAATTTACAAAATGCTACAACCACACATTTTAAGCAAGCTTGAAACTTCCACAACAAGGAAAATTTATTTCCTTAACTCTGTTCCAACTCACTTTGAGTTAGAATCAAAAGTTTGAAAAAATATATTTTAACTCCCCTTCCTTCTAGACTTTTTAGCTTGATTGGGACCAACAAATGGAATAAAATCAGTTGTTCGAATCGAACAACTGCTCTGATATCATGAACAATTGCTTTGATACCCAGTGGCGGATCCAGAAATTTTGTTCAGTGGGGGCGAAAGATTAAAACAAAACGGATAACTTAAAAAGGATGAAACAATTAAGAGATTAGCCATAAATATAGTTAGATATGAGCGAAAAATAAACAAAATATTTATAACAAAATATGAAACATAATTAATTTGATACAATAATTCTAATAGAAAACACATTATAAATTACACATCTTATTAGTAATAGAAAACACAATATAAATTACACATTTGAAATTAGCCATAAATATTGTTAGATATGATCGAAAAAATTTTTAAAAAATATTTATAACAAAATATAAAACATAATTAATTTGATGATAAAATAATTCTAATAGAAAACACATTATAAATTACACATCTTATTATTAATAGAAAACACATTATAAATTACACATCTTATTATTAATATAAAAGTATATACATATAATTTGAAAGACTAACTGTGTTGAAGGACTTGAAGCCAATATTATTCAAATAGACAAAAAATATGCATTTTAGCCATAACTGAGTGATGGATTTAATTAACCCGGGGTGGACCCGAATCAATAAATCCGGATAAGAACGTAATATAAATAATATAAAACGATATAACAAAAGTCCGTGAGACCGTATATTTTATTAATTGCCGTAGGAATTGGTTATTAAAAAGATTCGGTAGGACAAAGTGTGTAATAAGTGTAGAATGTAGATAGAATGCCCCTTGTTAGGACAAGGAGGGGGGGGGGGGGTTATACAAGCTAAACCCCCCAACCGCCTCCCCTAAATCGGGGGGTGGTTAGATCTCAACTTTGACCAGGCTCGGGTGGACCGGGTCGGGTAATACCGACCTCTCCTACCCGAGCCCACCTTAGGCCGAGCTCGGGTAGGGTTGTGCCACCCGACCTGAGCTCCACGTAGGTCTGCTCGGGTCGGGGCACTTCCATGGTGCTCCGGGTCCGTGTTGCTACCGTGGGTCGGGTGCTTTTGGGCTCCAACGTGGTGCTCCGGATCCGCGTTGCTACCCCGGGTCGGGCCGTGGGTATAATATATCCATCACTTAGATTCAAACTGTTGATCTTTCTTAAGCAAACAAGCGTGCTCTACCATCTAAGCTAGCTTACAACTTATTAATAATAGTTGTTTTCTTTTACTTATACTAAACCTTGTACTATATATACATAATTACTGTTCAACTAACCTCAGAACTCTTATCCACATGATCACGCAATTTACAAAACGCTACAACCACACATTTTAAGCAAGCTTGAAACTTCCACAGGAAGGAAAATTTATTTCCTTAACTTTGTTCCAACTCACTTTGAGTTAGGATCAAAAGTTTGAAAAAGTATATTCAACCCCCCCCCCCTCCTTCTTGACTTTTTAGCTTGATTGGGACCAACAAGTGGAATCAAATCAGTTGTTCGAATCGAACAATTGCTCTGATACCTAGTGGCGGATCCAGAAATTTTGTTCAGTGGGGGCGAAACATTAAAACAAAATGGATTACTTAAAAAGGATGAAACAATTAAGAAATTAGCCATAAATATTGTTAGATATGAGTGAAAAATAAACAAAATATTTATAACAAAATATGAAACATAATTAATTTGATATAATAATTCTAATAGAAAACACATTATAAATTACACATCTTATTAGTAATAGAAAACACATTATAAATTACACATTTGAAATTAGCCATAAATATTGTTAGATATGACCGAATTTTTTTTAAAAAAAATATTTATAACAAAATATAAAACATAATTAATTTGATACAATAATTATAATATAAAACACATTATAAATTACACATCTTATTATTAATATAAAAGTATATACATATAATTTGAAAGACTAACTGTGTTGAAGGACTTGAAGCCACTATTATTCAAATAGACAAAAAATATGTATTTATGCCATAACTAAGATTCAAACTATTAACCTTTCTTAAGCAAATAAGCATGCTATACCATCTAAACAAGCTTACAACTTGTTAACAATAGCTGTTTTCTTTTACTTATATTAAACCTTGTACTATATATACATACAAGGGTTATATAGGGGGTGGGGACAGCTGCCCCCACTGTAGGTCCGACACTGCTGATACTCCTTGTTGGTCACGAACAAGTTAAAAAGTCTAGAAAGGGGTTGTATAGACTTTTTAGCTTGCTCATGACCAATACAAATCATATCTAGGGATGGCAACGGGGCGGGGTGGGGAATGGGGTCTCCGTCCCCGTTCCAGAAATATTTCCCCATTCCCCTTCCTCGTCCCCGTCCTCGCGGGGATTTTTCGGGGACGGGAAATCCCCACCCTGTTTTTTATTTATGCCTATTTTTTGGGGACGGGGAAATATTTTCCCATTCCCTGTCTCCGTCCCCGTTCTCAGCCTTTTTTCCCAAATTAAAGTTGCAGAACCCTTCTTCTTCTTCATTCTTCTCGACTGCATTCTGCCTCACCAACACAAGAACTCCAACTTCAACAAATCTTCATCTTTGCTTCTAGAAATTTCAAAATACCATTCCCCAATATCTGCTAAGTGCTAGAAAAATACTATTTGGTGCATCTACTCAACTTCACCCCCTCTGAAGTTCAAGAAGCTCTTGGTGTCAAATGGTTAAAGGAAAACAACAAGTGGGAGGGAGTAGACATGAAAGCTCTACTTATTCAATTATTAGAGGTGGGACTTATTTCCCGTATTTTTCCAAAGAGTTGAATCTTTTGCTAGAAAGTCAAGGATTTTTAGGCAAATTTTTTAGGATTCAAGAAGAAATTTATTCTGATTTGGTTATAGAATTTTATGAGAATTTGTCTACTAAAACGAAGAAGGGAATTACGATAATTACTTCCACAGTTAGAAGAACCAAGATAGAATTGACACCGCAAAAGTTGTCTAATTGGTTTGACTTACCTTTGAGGGGTATAGATCCATATGATAGAGATGATTGGATTACTCACAATAATTTATGTCATGTTGAATACTTGAGATATATGACCGGAAGGCGAGAAGAATTCACAAAAGAATCTAGACCGGAGAAATCATCTTTAAGTGGTGAGAAGAAAATTTTGGTGTTGCTAATAGAAGAATGCTTATTCCCTTGCAAGAATAATTCTAATGAAGTGGGTAGTTGGGCATGTACTATGGCATACTTTCTTAGGTTCCAGATTGAGATAAATTTGCATGTTTTTATGTTAAAGCATATAGCCTATTCAAAGACTAGAAACCGAAAGCATTTACCATATGGTATTGAGCTGGATATTCATTAAAATGAACTTGCCTGGGAGAGGAGAGAAAATGAAAAAGACTACTTGCCTGAGAGGGGGGGAGATCTGAGGGCCCAACTCACCAACCACCGTAGCGGTGGTGCACCACCCCATGCCGTCCCCGCTCCAGCTGCGCCCTCCTTCAGGAGGGGGTGGCGGTCTTCGAACAAGCCTCCACGGCATTGGCACGTGTCGCGGCGGGCCTCCGGGCAGAGCAACAAGCCGACCTAGGCACCACCCGATGGGGCGTTGCCGCCACCTCCACCTCCACCTCTCTCCAGGGGGCGCAGCGGGCCGAGCACCCGACCACATCCGGCACACGCCACACAGGGGGAGGACAACTCGCCTCGACCAACGGACATGCAAGGAAAGGGGGCTCCTGCCGAGACCGTCAACACGGCGGCGATGGAAGGGCACCAACCCAAACCAGGCCCGCCCTGGAGAGGTTGGGCGATCGTGTGTCGGCTCGGGACAGGCTGGGTCCGAGGCCGGCCGCCAACGAGCCACCAGCGGCAGAATCGTGTTCCCGCAGGCTACCACGGCAAGCATCGGGCACCCGGGGGTCGCCAAGCCACGGACCCCGAGCCCAGCCGCAACAGGAGACGGGTTCGCGTAGGTCCCCAAGTCGTGGGACCCGAGCTCCACCATGACACGGGCAGGCTTCCCGGGTAGAGCGAACAGGTGAGACAAACGGTAGAGTCCCAAGCTCCAATAGGGACGAGGTCGAGCAACTACGGAGGAAGATGTACGAGCTCCGGAAGAAGATCGACGAAGGGACGGGTCCCCGGAGCCCCAAGACATACTGTCCACCTCGTTCGTGAGTGCTATCATGGAGGAACCCTTGCCCAAGGATTTCCGTTTCCCCACCATCAAGGCGTACTCGGGGACCACGGACCCGCGGTCGCACCTCACCAAGTACAGGGCCTCCATGATGATCACTGGGGCTATCGACGCCATCCTATGCAGGGGGTTCTTTGCCACTCTGGACGGACAGGCACATGACTGGTTCGGGTCCCTCCCGGGGGGGGGGGAGGGGGGGTCCATCTCTACCTTCACGGACCTCACTAAACAGTTCCTATCCCACTTCGCCACCAGCATCCAAAAGAAGAAGCAAATCGCCGACCTGTGTGACCTGAAACAGAGAAGCTCAGAATCGCTAGCCGAGTATCTCAGTAAATGGAAGAAAGAGGCCATGGGGGTCGCCAATTTCAATGGTAAGTCGGCCATACCGATTTTCAGGAACAATGTGATGTCGGATGCTTTCCACCAGGATCTCATCCGGTACCCCCCGAATAACTATACCGACCTGATGGACAGGGCGGCCAAGTATGCCGACGCCGAGGTCGCCGAGAAGAGGAAGAAGGAGCAGGAGGAAGGGAGAGATCGGAAGGACAAGGCTCCCCAGGAGGAGCGCGGCAGGGCACCTCGGCAGCACTGCCGCAAATATGCTGAGGGGCCCAGGTTGAACCCCACACGGTTCCTCACCCCGCTGACGCACCCCATGAGCATCATCCTAGCCCACGCGGAGGACCAAGGGATCGTCGAGATCCCAAAGGAAGAATGCATGAAGATATCGGCGAAGGCCGACCCCAAGAAGTACTGCCGATTCCATCGCCAGAAGGGTCACGACACGGACAAGTGCATCCTCCTGAAGAAGCAGATTGAGGAGCTCATCTAGATGGGTTACCTGGGCCAATTCATCAAATGACCTAGCCAACCCCAAGGCAAGAACCGGGACACCGTGTGGAGGAAAGGGGGTGGTGGCTCCGCGCCGTCCAACTCGGCACCCCGCAAAAGAGAACACGGCCAAAAATCTGAAGAGGACGACAAGATGACGGAAGACTCCCAAACCCCAAAGGAGCAGTCCATCTATGTCATTTTCGGAGAACCCGAGGGTGGCGACACCCAAGCCGAGCAGAAGAAGTGGGCGAGGAGTCTGTACGTCGAGGAGGTGACACAAGCCCCACGGGAGAAGAAGCTAAGGAGGGAACTCATCACCTTCACTGATGATGACCTGCCGGATGGCCCCGTCCCCCACCGGGATGCCTTGGTGATCAAGCTGGACATCAACAACGTGGTGGTGCACCGAGTGCTCGTAGACACAGGCAGCACGGTAAATGTTACGTACTACGACACGTTCACCCAACTCGGCCTCTCAAGAGACTAGCTGGAGCAGGTTAGGACCCCCTTGTCCAGGTTCACGGGGGACTCGATCGAAACGGAGGGATCGATTACCTTGGAAGTGGAGATAGGCACCTCGCCTCATCTCAAGAAGTGGAAAGTCGAGTTCGTGGTCATAAAAATCAGTTGCGCACACAACATGATACTCGGCCAACCTGCCCTGGAGGACCTCAGGTGCGTGATTTCCATGGAGCACCTATGTATCAAGTTTCCAACACTAACCGGGGTCGGGACCGCCCGGGGGGACCAGAGAGTGAGTCGTAGCTGCTACCTACGAGCACGCCGCCAGATGGGCAAGAAGGACCTCCGGGTCCACACCATAGCCGAGAAAGCATTACAAGGGGAGGCGGGTAGGCCCCGGGCCGAGCCCATAGTCGAGTCGGAGGAAGTCGTCTTGGATCTGAACCGCCCCGATCGGGTCGTGAAGGTAGGGGTCCGCCTCCCGGATGAGCTCCGAGCTCGGATCATCGACACGATCCGAAGTTACAAGGAGGTCTTCGCATGGGCCCCCAAGACATGCCAGGCCTCAGCCGCGAGGTGATCACACACAAACTGGCCGTGGACCCCGCAGTCAAGCCAGTCCAACAACGCAAGAGGTACCTCTCCGCCGACAGGAGAGAGTTCGTGAAGAAAGAGGTCGACACCCTCTTGGAGATAGGTCATATCAGGGAGGTCCTATACCCCACCTGGTTGGCAAATGTGGTCCTCGCCCCAAAGCCATCCACCTGGAGGATGTGCGTGGACTACACCGACCTCAACAAGGCCTGTCCTATGGACCCCTTCCCACTCCCCAACATCGACCAGCTGGTAGATGAGACAGCAGGTTGTGCCCTCATGAGCTTCCTGGACGCGTTCGGAGGGTACCACCAGATCTTTATGGAGGAGGCCGACGAGGAGAAGGCAGCTTTCACCACCCCGGAAGAGGTCTACTGTTACAAGGTCATGGCTTTCGGGCTGAAAAATTCATGTGCCACCTACACCCGAATGGTAGCCAAGGTGTTCAAACAAGTCCTCGGCCGCAACCTGCAGGCTTATGTCGACGACATGATCGTGAAGAGCACCGAAGCCAACTTGCATACAGACGACCTAGCTGAGGTATTTTCGATTATGCAATGTTTCAAGTTGCGATTGAACCCCAAGAAGTGCACTTTTGAGGTCCACAGGGGGGAAGTTCTTAGGGTACATGGTTTCCAAGAAAGGCATAAAGCCCAACCCTGACAAAGTTAAGGCTATCCTGGACATGGAGCCCCCAAGGTGTCTCCGGGAAGTCTAACGCCTTAATGGATGACTGGCAGCCCTCGGTCGTTTCCTCTCGAGGTCGGCCGAAAGATCTCTACTGTTTTTTGGAGTGCTCAAGAAGACCAAGGGGTTCGAGTGGTCCCAGGAGTGCCATAGGGCTTTCGAGGACCTCAAAACGTATCTGATGTCGCTCCCCCCCCCCCCCCTAGCCAAGCCCGTTAAGGGGGAGGTCTTATATTTGTACCTCGGCATCTCCCAGGCCGCGATCAGCTCCGTGCTGGTCCGGGACGATGACGGGGTCCAACGGCCCGTGTACTACACGAGCCGAGCTCTACGGGGGGCGAAGATCAGATACACACCCGTCGAGAAGGCCCTCTTCACGGTAGACATCACCATAAAGAAGCTCAACCACTACTTCCAGGCCCACACCGTTCATGTCCTCACCAACCAGCGGTGCTGATAGCCTCGGGGTCGGCCAACAGGTTGGTCAAGTGGGCCATGCGGCTAAGCTAGTACGACATCCAGTTTCGAACCTGTCCTGCCATCAAGGGGCAGGCACTAGCCAACTTCATAGTCGAGTGCACCGCCCGGGTGGCCACCGAACAAGCCCGAGACGAAGACGAGGAGTGGTGGACCAAAAGGCTGCGGGGGAGGGGTCGTCCTCATCACACCCGAGGGGTTCAGAGCCTACTATGCCCTCCGTTTCGCCTTCAAGCTGTCCAACAACGAAGCCGAGTACGAGGCACTCCTCGGAGGGCTCCGGCTAGCACTAAACATGAGGGTCGAGAAACTCAAGATCCGGTGCGACTCTAGGCTAGTGGGGGGCCAGGTCACGGGAGAGTTCGAGGCAAGTGACGAGAGAATGAGGAGGTACCGGGATGTGGTGCTCCAGCTCTTGGTCCAGCTAATAAACTATGAAGTCCTACAGGTACCCCAGGATCAAAACACGGATGCCGACATGTTGTCCAAATTCAGCCAAGGAGCCCCGGAGCACATCTCTAAAATTTCCCGAGTTGATGATTTTGAAAGGTCGAGTCTGGAGTCCTACCCATACAAGGCCGACCCCCCCCCCCCTGTTGGTTGGATTATCTCAAGGAGTACAAGCAAAAAGGTACGCTACCTCCTGATGAGGTCGAAGCCAAGCTAGTGAAGTGGCGTGCCCCCACATATGTCATCATGGGGGACATGCTCTATAAGAGTTCGTACAACGGCGCCCTGCTTCGCTGCTTGTACCCGGACGAAGCCAAGTCGGTCATGGAAAAAATCCACGAAGGGACCTGCTCCGCCCACCAGGGTGCCTTCACGATGGCCCGCCAAGCCATCTTGCAGGGGTACTTTTGGCCGAGAATGGCCAAAGAGTGCGCCGACTACGCCAGAAGCTGCGAGACATGCCAGCACTTTCAGGTCGACCCCGGTCAACTCGCCACGAACTACACCCCGATCAGCTCGGCCATTCCCTTCTCCAGGTGGGGACTGGACATAGTACGGGCTCAACCTATGGGGTCGGGCAAAAGAAAGTACCTCATAGTGGCTGTCGATTACTTTACCAAATGGGTAGAGGCGAAGCCGCTGGCAAGCATCACAAGTGCCCGTTGCAAACAGTTTGTCTACCAAGACATTTTGTGCCGATATGGGGTCCCGATGCAACTCATCACTGACAACGGACGCCAATTCGAAGGGCAGGAGTTCGAAAGATTCTGCGCCGAGTGGCGCATCAACCATAGCCGAGTGGCCGTATGCTATCCACAAGCCAATGGGCAGGTGGAGAAAGCCAACCGCACCATAGTGAATGGCCTAAAGAAGAAACTTGAATCCGCAGGGGGAGCATGGGTGGAAGAGCGTGACGCCATCCTATGGGCCTATCGCACCACCCCCAGGAGGGCCACGGGGGAAACACCGTTTTCCTTAGCAAACGGTTTTGAAGCTCGAGCCCCTACAGAGGCGGTCATACCTTCCCGCCGAGAAGAAGAATATAACCCCGACGCCAACAAGGAGCACCATAGGGCCGACCTCCACCTGGTGGACGACAGAAGAGAAGCAGCCTCCATCCGAGCTAAAAATTACCAGAGGCAGACTAAGTCCTACCACGACAGACGAGTACAACCCTGTTACTTCCAGGCAAGAGATTATGTACTCAGGAGGAAATAGGTGAGCCAACCCCAAGCCAGAGGAAAGTTCATCGCGAACTGGGAAGGCCCCTATATTGTGACAGCGGTGGTCCGTCCCGGCAGCTACAAACCCAAGAACCCCAAAGGAAAGGTGATACCCAGAGTTTGGAACTCGAAGCATTTGCTGAGGTACTACCAGTGATCCACCATGGGCTAACCCGGCTGTTAGGACCATCTCATCTCCTTTTTTCAAATAATGTCACAGGGGGCGGCATGCCCCCTCCATTGCTATAAACAGAATAAAGTTTTTGTATTACGAAACATTTTTTCTCACTCACTCCTCAGGAAGGGAGGCAATTTTTTACCCGACTTCCCCAGTCATACCCTAAGGGGATATGAGGCCCGACCTCACGTACCAACCCTGACGGAGGAACCCCACGGTCTAGTGTCAAAAGACTATACTGTCGCGGTTAACATACCCTAAGGGGGCACGAGGCCCGACCTCGCGTACCGACCCCGACGGAGGAGCCCTGCGGTCTAGTCTCACAAGAATATACTATCGCGGTTAGCACACCCTAAGGGGGCACGAGGTCCGACCTCGCGTACCAACCCCGACGGAAGAGCCCCCGGCCTAAGTTCCAAAGGACTCGGTCCGAACGGCTATCAAAAAAAAAAAAAAAAAGGCCGAGGACCAGCAACTCGGCCAAGGCCGAGGACCAACAACTCGGCCACGGCCGAGACCTAGCAGCTCGGCCAAGGCCAAGGACCAACAACTCGGCTGCGGCCGAGCTCCTGTGTCTCGGCAATAGCCGAGGCCCACGCCGTGCCACGACCCCGGGCTTATGTTCCAGCCACCCAAGATGTTTTCTCTGTTTTCCCTTGAAAGCATAGAAGCAACAAAAGCGAGTTCTTAACAAATTTTAAACAAGGAAAAATTCGTACAAGATAGATAAGTTCGATACAAAGTCAAGGGAGCACGGAGTTTGCATAGACAAGGAGTTCAGACAAAATAAACGAGCTCCATACAAAGCTAAAATAAGCGCAGAGTTTTGCATCTAAGTGTGAAAAAAAGAGAGCAACCCCGGGCTAGCCATTCAAGTCGGGGGCATCACGGGCGACCTTGTGGGCGGCCATCCCCTCGACATAGGTG